CTGGAGTGGGTGGCCCTGTCCTTCTCCAGGCGATCTTCCCGACACAGGAATCGAACCTGGCCTCTCATGTCTCCGGCACTGGCAGGGGGGCTCTTTACTACCGAACCACCTGGGAAGTCCCCACCTCTGGAGGATACTTTTTTATTTTTAGTCGTGGAAGATTCAGGGGGAAAAGCTTTGGAATGTTGTAGGAAGGATACTTGTTATATATGAATCTTCATTGAAAGAAGTATCAGGCCACTGTTAGAATCCAAAATGGGATTCTAAAAGCTGGGCATCAATTTTTAAAATGAATATATTTAAATGTATTAATATTATGGGAGCCCAGTATTTAAAACAATTGTCTGATTAAGTCATATAAGAGAAAGAATAAAGAGTACTTTGGGAAGAAATATCTATAGTCTAATGTATAGTTTATATACCTAGGTTTTCATATATCCCATTTGCCTGAAATAAGAACCATCTCTACAGAAGAAGAAAGTAGGTCAGTTTTAATTAAAGCTTAAAAAAAATGACAATGCCTATACATAAACTTTCTTAGGGAAGGTGTTTTTGTCTATACTAATGACTGGGGCATAAATGATGCCTACATTTAAAAGCTTAATAAATATTTGTTGAATGAATGTCCCAGGTAATTTATATTGTTACCGGAAGTGGTGGGATTCCATGGCCTCAATTTTTTTCTCTAATACTTCATTGTTGTGACAAGAAACATATCTCATTTATGTCTGTGAGGCAAGATGTGAGGAATGAGAAAGAGACTAAGAATTAGGGGACAAAAAAGTGTGCACTAAAGACTGAAAAGTTATCAGGCCGTATGTATAAAGTAGACTACCTAAGATGCCAGGGGCAATCTTGATAGAGTTCACATGGTAAGTCTGTGAGGCATGGGTGAAGCCTTAGAGAGCTGGAAGATGTCACCCTTCCAGTGAGCAGGGAACGTGTTAACTCAGGTTGGCCACCCTGGGCCCATTTAGTGCACTGAGTAGTTATTTGCTATCGTAGTAAAAGAGAATGAGTAAATAGTGAGCAATTTAGGGACAGCTAACCACTAGTAGCTCAAAGGATATAAAAATGTGCAACTATAATTAATTCCTGACCATCATGTACTAACTAAATGTATTACATGGTATGTTGCATCCTTCTGAGTTTATTTCTAAACATAGCTGAGAACTTTACAATTCAGACTGAAACCATCCTCTATCAATTCATGCCTCCATTAAGATTCCAACTGCTTATATTAGAAAAAAATTCCAAAGATGGTTTCTTTTTATCTTGGATCTAAGGATGCAAACAGGATTAACCTCGATGCAAAACACAGCAAGTCAGTTATCAATCACACAGCATAAAATAAACTGTAGCAGTAAATTGAAAATTACATTCTCTTTTTCTATATTTAGCTGTGAAAATATTTTAAGTTGGCATCAGGGTTTGCAACTTTTACATCTGTTGTTTCTTTGGGGGATTATCTTTTCACATTGGAAGATATGATTCTTTGGAAAGTGTGGCTAGTTACAACTGTGGTATTAGATTGTACATGTGGAACATTTTAGAGGGTTGGGAAGCATTTTTGAGTTACCGTGGTTTCAAGACACTGTCCTAGTCCCCATTCTACTTTTTAAGTAGGAAAAGCTGAGATTTCATGGGTGTCTGGAAAACATTTGTTCTCCACTGAAATCCCTTCCTCATTCAGAGAAATTGGAGAGCGTGGCTTGGCTCATATGTTCTGGGGCATGTTCTGTGATATTAGCAAACTCCAAGTTTCATTGTCATTATCACTGTCTTATTATAACTCTGAGGTTCCAGTTGGTCTGGTGTTCAGAGGACCGTCTATGCTTTATGAACTCCTATTTCTTTCTCTCTCTGTCCTCTCACCCGCAAGTTCAGTCGCTTTATTGAAGGTTTGGAAGTGGAACCAGGTAGCGGTCCCCAACTTTTTTGGCACCAGGAATGGGTTTCATGGAAGACAGTTTTTTCATGAACTGGGGCAGGGGTACAGGGGTAGATTCGGGATGATTCAAGCATATTACATTTACTGTGCACTTTATTTCTAATGTTATTATTAACTAGCTCCACCTTAGATCATCAGGCATCAGACCCCGGAGGTTGAGGACCCCCAGATCCAGGGATGGGTCACACTGTGGGCCCTTGTCCTTCTGCTCTCCCCTCTGATTTTTATGCTTTTGGATACAATGGGATATGATGTCTTGTAGATTATACACACTATGCCTGAAATAGTTTCTCTACATAAAACTCATATCCTTCATTCTCCCTCCCTCCATCAAAAGAACAAAAAGGATCCAGTCTTTGAGGCTGGACTGGACTTCCTTTTTCTCCGCCTTGAGAAACGTGACCGTAATTCACCGCCCTCATCTCCTCCCAATGTTAGTAACCCTTCACACCACGTCTGGCAGGGAGGTAAGAAGCCTTTCCCACCTCTCCCTGCTCCAGTGCTTTGCATACTCAATTCTCTGGCTGACGCTTTTTCTTTAATTTTTTCCGGGGAAGTTTTTGGTTACACATACCTTCAAGGGGTACACACAGTTCCTAGAGGACAGAAAGGCGGAGTGGTGGTGACTCTGAAACTGCACAGGGCCCAGCGCTGATTAAGGACAGCCCGGTAACCCCGGAGAGCACACACGCGGACTCTGGGCCAGGGGTGACCGTGTCTCTGACTGGAACGAACTCCCCTTGAGTTTATTACCTTACCCACATAAAAATAACTCTAGAGAGCAGATATGTGAGAGTTAATATATATTTCTTAATATACAAAAAGTTAAAGAGGTTTATAGGAATCCATGAAGGAACTAAAAAATATAAAGAAATGTAAATAGTCCATGTTTTAGTACTGAAATTTAACGTGTTTTTAAAGTTTAACTCAGTTTAATTTGTTTCTGAAAATTTAGTCCAAAGTGAGGTCTGTATTGTTGGACTCCTTCAGTTTAGTTCAGTCGCTAAGTCGTGTCTGACTCTTTGCGACCCCATGAATCGCAGCATGCCAGGCCTCACTGTCCATCACAAACTCCCAGAGTTTATTCAAACTCATGCCCATCGAGTCGGTGATGCCATCCAGCGATCTCATCCTCTGCCGTCCCCTTCTCCTCCTGCCCCCAATCCCTCCCAGCATCAGGGTCTTTTCCAGTAAGTCAGCTCTTCGCATGCAGTGGCCAAAGTACTGGGGTTTCAGCTTCAGCATCAGTCCTTCAAAATGAACACAAAGGACTGATATCCTTTAGGATGGACTGGTTGGATTTCCTTGCAGTCCAAGGGACTCTGAAGAGTCTTCTCCAACACCACAGTTCAAAAGCATCCATTTTTCGGCACTCAGCTTTCTTCACAGTCCAACTCTCTCAATCTTGATTCCAGCTTGTGCTTCTTCCAGCCCAGCGTTTCTCATGATGTACTCTGCATATAAGTTAAATAAGCAGGGTGACAACATATAGCCTTGACGTTCTCTTTTTCCTATTTGGAACCAGTCTGTGGTTCCATGTACAGTTCTAGTAGGACTCCTTAGACTAGGTCAGTTCCCTTATTTTTATTTCTTCCCATGACACCTGGTGCTTCCCCCTCTTCCACATCCCTCATGTGTTGAACCTCTTTGTTTCTAAACTATAAACTCTGTAAAGGCAAGGACAGTGTCTGATATTCCACTGCTGTAACAGACTGCTTGGTATATGTTTATAATTGTTTGTTTAATTAATTGTATCTTATGTCTCTTGGAAAAATTTGCATTCTCCCTAATTTAAAAAAAGTAACTCTGAACTGTTGATTGAATTGAAATAGTATAAACATGTTTCATGAGACCAAGAGGTAATAATTCAAAAGAAAAGTATAAAAAGTCGTCAACTTTCAAGAATTTTCAAGTTATCTAATTTCAAGAATCAAGATAATTTTTTTTTTGTCCTGTAACTTCTACTTTTCGGTGAAACTGTGTAGATAGCCCAAGTACAACTTTCTCTGCCCTTATTTTTCTATTATTTCAGCTACAAGTTCCAGTTTCTCTCTTTTTTCTTCCCTGTTTCTCTCTCCTTCCTCTTTCCTCAAACCCCCTACCCGCAATTCACCCCCAGGTTTAGTAACTTTATTGATGTTAAACAGGCCCAGGATTGTTTGCAGCTGCATAAGTCTTGCATGTAAAAATCCAATTTATGAAACAATACGGAGGAATGGTAGTTCAATTAAAAAGGTTTACTAAATTCTTTTAAATAGTAAATTGCTCTAATCCAGCCTACAATATTGTTATAAGCGACAAGAAAGTACAACTTTTTACGCCACGACTAACATTGTGGTCGCAGGATATAATTTCTTCCTGAATATTGAAGGAAAAACCAAGGGAAGACGTTTAGAGAGAACACAGGGCCCTATCTTCTGTCCCACGTGTCTCCGCTCCAGCGTTTCCTCTGCTTCCCATCGCTTTCTGTATCCTCAGTCCTTTTGGATCTCAAGCTGAGCAGGGAGAAACCAGGGCCCGGTCCTCGTCCTTTCTCCTCACACAGGAGCTGCCGCGGCACGACTGCCTCCGGGCGAGTTCAGCTGTGGTGAGGGGAAGACCGGGCGCCCGGACCTTCGTGCTTTCTGGAGTCTGTTTGAGCCCAGTCTCAACCAGCGGGGAAAAGGAAAGCCTCTGGGAGCAGGAACGAGCGAGTAACTACAAGTTCACTAACGGAACATCCCCGAGCACAGACTCCAACAGCAGAGGGCACCAGACCCACTGTCCGGGGCCCGCGGCGGGCCGCACGGCGGGACGGCCCTGGAAGATCTCTGGGACTTGTAGTTCGCCACGGTCTTCTCGGGGGCTCCCGGCAGCGGCCTGGAACTACAGCTCCCAGGCGGCATCGCGCGCCTCTCATCTCCCGGCCGCCTCCCTCTCGGACCCGCGCAGGAAGCCCCCGGGCCTGGAAGCACGGCCCCGCCCCCCGACGCCGTCACGCTTGTTTACCCCGAGGCCCCGCCCCGCGCGCCTGCCCGCGGGGTTGCCGTCACGCGGACGATGCATATTCATGAGGCGCGCCGCCCGCCGGCCTCCCGCCCGGCTCCACCAGCGCGCGATTAATATTCAATGAGGCCGGCTTGGCTGCTGGCTCGGCAGCGAGAGGCGAGGGGCGGGCGGGGGGCGGTGGCGGCCGGGCGGGCGCGCNGGCTGCAGCCCGGGCGCTCCGCGGGCCCCGGACGGCGCGGGCCCGGCCCCCGAGCCCGAGAGCCCCAGGCCGAGCCCCGGCGCCGAGGGCGCGTCGGGCCGGCCGGACCCCTACTGCTCGTCGTCGTCCGAGGAGCTCGAGGCTGACCCGGGCCAGCCCCGCCTGCGCGGCCGCTCTTCGGATGCCTGGCCGCTCTCCCCGGCCGCCTCTCCGCCTCCGCCGACGGCCCCGAGGGACTTCGAGGGCCCGGGCGGCGCCGCCCGCGATCGGCCGGCGGAGGAGAGCCTGCGCGGCCGCTCTTCGGATGCCTGGCCGCTCTCCCCGGCCGCCTCTCTGCCTCCGCCGACGGCCCCGAGGGACTTCGAGGGCCCGGGCGGCGCCGCCCGCGATCGGCCGGCGGAGGAGAGCCCGGGCGGGGACGCGGCGGCCGCGGAGAAGGCGCCCCCGCCGCCCACCCTGTACGTGCAGCTGCACGGGGAGACCGCGCGGCGCCTGGAGGCGGACGAGAAGCCGCTGCAGATCCAGAACGACTACCTCTTCCAGCTGGGCTTCGGGGCGCTGTGGAGGGTGCAGGAGGAGGGCCTGGACTCGGAGGTCGGCTGCCTCATCCGCTTCTACGCAGGTAAGGCGGTCACCTGCGCCCGTGCCGCGCGCGCCCTCGGAGCTCTGTTAGCCCTTCTCCGCTCGCGCGGATGGCGGCTGGGACCGAGCTGAGCGCTTACCGCCGCGGGCGCGGGGGCGGCGGCGGGGCCCCGGGTGCTCACGCTCCTGAGAGGGGCCCTGTAGCCCTACCGTGACGGTGCCGCCTGCGGGTCTCGGGCCGTGGGGTTTGCAGCCTTTTGAGGCTTCAGGGCAACTTCGTGTGCCGTGAAACCAGCAGAGTAAGGACAGCGGGAAACGTTGGGGAGCGCCCGGGCTGCGGCCGACCGGGTGCGGCTGGCGGCGCCCGCGCTGAGCTCAGTCAGGGTCGGCGGGTGCCCTCCTCCTGCTCTCCGTCCTGTCCTTTGCCTACTTAGTCCTCGATGGAACCCGGCAGCCACGATCCTCTTTAGTGATGCTTTTCCTTAGCGCTTCTTGGCTTTATTTCAGTCTCCCCTGCAAGTGTACTTCTTCATCAGAAGTGGTTTTGCCTGTTTCTTTCTCTTGGTTTCTCCCCTCTAACCTTTATAGCCAGAACTGACAATGTGTCTTCCAGTAGGGATACATAGGGATCACAGTAGGACTTTAAGTGATTGCCGTCTCTCACTGAGTGTGAGCTAAAATCCTCTGCATCCGTTTTTCATTTTTAGATTAAAGATCTTAAATTTTTTCATTGGGATCGAATTGATGCATTAGATCAAGTTCTTGACCATGGGTGACTAGAGTTTCTCTTTTAAAGACTTGTCTGGTGCTAAATTAGGGAGCTATGGGTCCTGGCTGTATATTTGAGCTAATAAGTTCTTTATGTCCTTTTCCTCTGCTGGTTTGAAGAATTATGTTTTAGTGGTAAGGAATTTTATTTTAAAACAAGGTTAGTGTAATAGTTAAATTAGGAGTTACATTCTTTCCCAAATTTACTAAAGTAGTAAATTATTTCTCCACTTAGGTTGTAGGTGGTGGTGGAAAGAGAATCACACTTGTAATTGCATTCATCTGTAGCCATTCTTTCCAATTTAATATTTTTGGTCCACACCTGTGTTCTAGTAGCAGTTTAGTCAGTCTGAATGAAGAGCTCTTTACTCCTACATTGATATATGCAAGACTGGTAGCATTCCTGGTGAGATGTTCCTTTATGTTTAATTAATTTAAGTGGATTTCTGATGGAATTTGGCCTCATAAAGAAAACTGTATTGTAATAGAATAGCATTTGCAGTACCTGAAGATAATGTCCCAACCGGATGACAAGTCTTTAAAAGTTTATGGTCTAGAAAATAGGTGATTTTTTAATTTTAATTAATGTAGGAGCAACAATTATATTCTCCTCTCTTGTGCCTCATGTGATTTATAAAATACTGTTATTTTATGGAAGCATTAAATGGTAATCATGCTTGGAATGATATTTTGTTAACACGAGAATGGTAAATGCCTGTGTGTGTGTGTGTGTGTGTGTGTGTGTGTGTGTGTGTGTATAAAGAAGCACGGTCTGTGTTAAGCATATTTTGAACATACTGAACATATTTTGCATGGAGAGATCTCCGCATGCCTCATTTTCCTCATGACCGAATTGCTGGTCATGATAAAAGTCCATGGGAAGGGTTTTAGGTGTCCTAGTCATGGCATTTAAATCTTTGATTCCCCTTGGTTGTCTCTTCAAGTGTGTCTAAAATGTTCTCAGTGGATGATATATAGGTTTATTTGTTTGCTTTTTGTTTTTAAACTTATCTCCATGTAAAGTTGACAGATTATCTTTCTGGTTAAATCTCAAATTTCTGGTGTGCTCATTTTAATCTTTTTGTTCTGTTGTTCATGAAAAGCAGTCATTGTTACTTCACTCTAAACTTACTTGCTTTGCTGTAGTATGCACAGGGTAAATACATATACCCCTCTGTGTACACGCTTGTAAAGGTAACTAATAAAATGGGGAAACCACACACAGCATCCAGCCTATTCTTGAATATGAAGCCTGTATACAGGAGTCCTAGAAGGAAGGTGCCTGATTGTTATCAAGATGTCTAATTGCACATTTTATACAAAATTGAGTTTATTTTAAGCCAAAGTTAATATATCAAACATCTCTGTTGCTATTCATTTACCATAGAACAAAATTTACCATATCATGAGTCCACCTGAAGGTTTGCAAGGAAGTGTAGTTGTTGGTGAACAAAAGGGCTTTGTTATAAGGTGGTCTTGCTTATCACAGGAACATTATCAAGACTTCACATGTCATGGAGGTTTGCATTAAGCTGGGAGGAGATTCCCAGAAATTACCCATTTGGAATGTAGGACACCCAACAAGAAAGTGTTATGTAGTAATTCTTTTCCTCAAGAAGAAGAGAATTGACAATTGTTTTACACCAGACCCTTTGAGTGGGTGTTTTGTACCACATTTGTTTTTAGAATTTTACATGTAACTTTTAAATTTGTTGCTTCGTATCACTTTGTTTATATGTGTAGTTGGAGTTAAGGATAGACTAGGAAGTTGCCTTTGAAGGCTTTTGAATGTTTTCCTGTATTTAAATTGAGCTCACTACCTGTTGTTTATATAGCTTGTCTATTTATCAGTTGCCTTTTTTGAGAACTTCTTGTCGAGGGAGAACTTCATTCTCTTGAGGTCACCTTTCAGTTAAATCTTAGTGTTTATAACCTGGCCCAGGTGATTCTCAAATAGGCTTTGGAAGCCATTTGTGGTTGCTTTGAATATTTAAATATTTATTTAGGCAAAGTAAAATGAAAGTCTTTAATGAACTGAAAGGCTTTGGACTCAGGGCTCTTTGTGATTGCAGAGCTGTGATAGAAACTTTAGTTTGAAAATCGTTACTGCTTCTCAAGCAGCCATGCTTTTAGCTGACTTAAAATAAGAAAAAAATTAATTGTGGCTTTATCCGAAACAACTTGTATGACGTATTAGGTCTGTTAGATACATTAACATTTAATTTCCTTTTAAGATTTGCTATCTTAAATTTTACCTGAAAGAGAGTAATTTTAAGTGGGAAAAAAAAAATTCAAGAATTTATGTTGCTCAACATCAGTAATCAGGCTGTTTTGGACTCCCTGGGGGCACCTGAGTCAGTGATCAAGGGCAGTGTTACAGGGTATTTTTTTTATGTTTTTGACTCTCTTCTGCCTTTTAGATTTAGTCGTCTCGCCCTTTCAGCTGCAGTTGTGACGGGGAGAGGATGTTGACGGAGCAGAGAGCACACCCGCTGTGGCCGGTGAACCTTGGACCAGACGTTTTTACGTGTGACTTTCTGGGGTTGCTGTGGAAAAGGGACGCCTCACCCGCTCTTATTTTCCTTCCTTTCCTTTTCTGGGAATGATCAAACCTTACATGGTTTCCTCTGTGGAAATCAAGAAGGGGTGGTTCAGCATTGTGCTGTAATATTGACGAGCAGTGTCTTGTTACAATAATTACAGCAGCATTGAGTAGCATGGTATGAACATGTGACACCAGTGTGTGCTTCAGCACTCCTTTTAAGAACAAAGGGTTTAACTTTATTTTTGTTTTTTCACATTTATACTTTATACTTGTCTTTGACGTAAAGTGCATGCTGTCTTGTCCTTCGTTAACTGTGGTTTGATAATGTCTATTAATATGTTGGGTTTATTATCTTCAAAAATCTTAGAAGAGCTTTCACATGAATTGTCTTGTGTCCTTCCAGAAACGTTAGGGAGGAGTCAGCGTCAGTCCTCTTTTCAGACTGAGAAGCTGATGTGTAAAGAGTTCAGATTCTTGCTTCTGGTTTTTCAGTTCTTGGCAGAGCTAAGAGAGCATGCCCATTCTGTCTTACAGTTCATGTCACTTTCCACGAATCGATGCCAGATCTCTTTACGTTTGGATTTTTAACTTGGTTAAAAGCATTCAGGAAATACGCTATTTTTGCTGGTAATGAGGTGATATTATCCTCTAGTCCCAAGTGGTATTCCTTGTAAAATGTGGACGATTCTATTTTCATCATGCTGCCTTTAACATGAAGAAGCAAGACTGGATAATAAGGGGACGATACAGAAACAGTATGAAAGTGTTCCAAGTGTCCTGGTGGCACATAGTTATACATACATTCAAGTTGGTGTGAAATACAGCTCACCTAATGATTCTTTATTTTCTTGCTTGAGCATGCCTCAGTTGTTAAACCGTAAAATTGTCACTGGCTACAGAGTATTAGCACTTGATCTTCATGAAAAGTGGATAAGTTTTGAAGATGGCGGTGTGACACTTCAGTTCTTTTTTTTTTTTTTTTAACTTCAGTTCTATTAAAACATAGCTTTACTTGTGAGTATCAAAAATAGCTATCATGAAAGGTTTGCACAAATCTTTTATTTGAGGTAAACTTATTTGTACTTTAGTGATCAATAGTGCTTTATGAATGTCACTATGTTGTTCAGTTTTTGTAATTTCTATATTATATAGGGCTAGAGAGTAAGTACTCTCCCTAAATTTCATGGTTATTTCTAAAATGGTGTGTTTTTTTTTTTTTAACACTCATTGAAATAATTGTAAGGAAAGGAGATGAGTGTAAATAAGTTTATGAAGTTTCTTTTTTGTATCTGTAACATTGTTAAATGATTGGTTATCCCAAGATTCTTATTTTTTAAAGTGTAAGGTGTTTTATTTTCTTGTTCTCTTTCTTTATAGAATGCTGAATTTGATTTCTTGGTAACATAGCATTTATTGAGGTTGTGTATGATCCAAGGCTCGTATAATACTTGGCACTTTAGTTTAAACATTTGTTGAGTAGAATCTGTGGAATTTTGTGAAGCAGCTGATGGTGTGTGTCCTGAATCTTTGGCCTGTTACCCAGGGGTTGTGTTAAATACACACACACATCTCTCCAGGACACACCCCACCCCCTCTCCCAGGACACAGCCCTCTCCTAGGACACACCCACACACCCCTACCTACCCCCCCCAGGGTAGGAGATTGTACATGTGGTTCTGTTAATACCTTCACGTGAATGAAGCTGTATGTGGATTTTGAGATTCTCT